TATGATACAATCACAGCTGACTATCTGGACAATCACCTGTCAGGGTCCTACCTTTGGTCCTCATAAGGATACATTCCTCCAACTTGAAAGGCTCAGCACATCCTAAATTAACTTGGACATTGAAAATATATTTGTGTATTGTGAACTAAGTAATCAAGGAGAAGAACCACTCAGATTCAACTAGGAAAACCTTCATTAGGGTAATTACTATGATTGTGACAAATACAAGGGTGATTGGGGTGATAAATCTGTACCATAAAACCTAATTCATGTTTTTGGGATGGGATGTACAGGATTGACTGAGGAGGAAAGACAGGTCACAGTATTGCAACACAGGAGCAGATCTGAAAACTATGCTGTATGTACTCATTTTCTTTACCAACAGGAAAAAATTCTCCAAAGTAATATTTCCTATACACTTTTATACACCTTTCTCACTACAGTTTTAACAACTGTTAAAACCAGTAGCAGTCTAGTGCAAGTATTTCTTCAAAAGAAAATACCATAAAAACCCAAAACCTTTACAATCTTGTTAAATCTAAGACAGTGCAAACGCAATTGCTGCAGGAGAGAAACTACTAGATTAAAATGAATATGAGACACATCTAACCCAAACCTGTGGCTCCGATTAGGGGCACCACAGGGTGCTCTCAGGCAGAAGGAGCAAAGGTTGTAAACTTACACTCCTAGTAAACATCTCCTACTATTAGTACTGAACAATGTGATTGCTTCAAATGCTTCAAAACATTTTTGATAGTTATTTCCTGACATCAATACGAATCAAACTAAAAAAATGCAGCATGGCATGGGAAGGTAGAGAGAAGCTCAGTTCTGGGTAGAAATGTAAAGCTGTTAACTTTACAAAGATAAATGGGACAGCAGATCCTGTAATACCAAGAGATCTCATCACGTCTGGTGTAAAACACTGTATTTTAGTTCTCTCCAATTCATGCATTTAACTTCATAACTATGAAAAGTAAAGATAACAAAAACCTTTGCATCTTATAGAAAAGAAATCAGATGCTTTTTCTCACTCTTTTGGAAAATTCCCTACATAAAATCCTCATAATTCACTTTGCTGTGCTTTTTCAGAACAAAATCTGTTTCACAAAATTTTGTGAACATTCGAAATAATATTATTTAATATATTATATAAGATATCATATACATCACATATATTTAGTACAAATACACTTCTTTGCAATTAGATAACCTTATCTATGAAAAAAGCAAAATATATTCACCAGATTTAGGGTATCCTGCCAAAATGATATCATCACTTCTGGCTTCAAAGGACTCCAAGGCTCTGAATGTTTCAGGACTACAAAAAGTGACAGGGTAGAGAATTCCATTGTAAGAAAACAGCAGTTCTTCACGACGCATTGAACTGGCTTCTGCTGTTGCCTTATCTACAAGATCAGTAAATTTTTTCCTGGACTTCTCCATTCTGCTTCTATCTCTCAGACACACAGGCTCTGACACAGTGTGAAAGGCTATGTAGAAAAAGAAACTCACATGTTACCTTTTTATACCTGCTGAGTTTGTTGGTGGTTTTTTGACC